GATGCTTTTCATATCAGGCAGAAAACTCTATTGATGGCCTCCATTAGCCATCAATGGAGTCGAACAAAATAGAACAAGTTAGGACGGTCGGGAATGGTCACATGGCATCTAGATGAACCCTTAATGTCAGCACACAGTCTGCACTGCTTGATCAAAACGGTTTGGAGAGAAGACGCATTACCCTTTCAGTAAAGAATGTCCTTTGCTGCTTGTAAAATATATGAAAGTGCTATAAAAACTCCCGAGTTCTTTGCATGCACAATCACAAAGGAGTGTCGGTGAAAATGGAGTCTCAGTGTGGAAGTGGAAAAGGTGACAGTGGGTTATTCACATTATAAGGAATTGCTTGAGTTGTTAATCAAGGGAAGAGGCATTAAAAGGGAAACATGGAGGACAGACACAAGACACTTACTAAACATTTGATTTTAAACATACTGCCCAAAATCATTCAAACAAAACTAACTTGAAGTGTTAAACTACTGATAACTACATGAGCACAAGTCATGGACTAACAACAGTGCAAACATCAAATATGGTAGAAAACACACAAAGAACTGCTGATCAGATGCGCTTAGTTTCTTACACTTTTGTTTCGTAGTCCTTCCAGGCTTTGTCGAAGGGCTTTTTCAGATCCTGCGAAAAAACAAAAGGAAGTATTAATTAATATAATAATTATTTTTAAAAACTGACCAAAACCAGCAACAAGCTCTTTGAAAGACAGCGAGACGATCGAGGGTTGAGAAGAACATGGACGAGAAATAAACTGGGACGACATTTTCTTAAGTGGAGCACATGGTAACATTCAAAGCTGCAGGTGCTGAATGAACGGGGTAGTTTGGCTCTTACAGTCTATTAATTGTTTGGATCATTTATCAGAACAAAGCCTTTAATGCATCTCCATAAAAAAACAACAACAGACAAACAAAAAAACATTACTCTGTGGTTTTCCTGTGATTGGTGCTACTTTTGGGATCCTCACATACATTTAATTAAGAAAGCTGAGACCCATTGGGAAGTTACTTTCGGACGTCAGGAAGGAGAAGCCAAAAAGTTACAAGAAAGACTGAAAACAGGAGGAAACAGCTTGTGTTTATCCAAAAATAATAAAAGGCCTCTGAAGCTCATTAATATACTCGTGACAGCTGTTTAGTTTAATGAGTCCAACTTGCTGCACTTTTGTGGGAAGTTGTCTACATCTTGGCCGGCCTCAGACTTAGTCAGAGGCGCTAGCAGGTAAATATATATATATTATTTTTTACCTCTCAGAAAGAGAGACTAGCAGCTTCTACCCATTTCTTGTATTTATTTAAAGCTTCTCAAGGAGCAAAGATTTTATTCACATATGACTTCCAAACACTGTTAATAAATACTCTTAGGTCCTCAACAATGAAAGTAACTGATAGTCAGGGCCCTACATGTACTATACATAATGAACGCAGACAAGCGCATCAAGCAGAAAACTCGGGAAGTGTGTGGTTACACTTAAAATAGCGAGCAGAAGTCAAGAAACTGGATGCAGAATGACACAGCCTTCACCACGTCAATAGCAAAACATTGCAAAAAAAATATAGCTAATCTATACAGCCGGCATTTGTCTCAACAGTGAGCAGGAGCACAAGGTGACTGTTTCTGGCATTCATAACGCAAATTCTCTGGTAACGATTTCTTGCCGTCGTGTGCTGCTTGAGCAAAACTCTTGATTAAAGCACCTCTTTGGTGCTCCAGTGCTGATTAAACAGTGATTAGGACGCACAAAGCAGACATTACTGGGTACAGCTGCCCATTTCATTCCCTAAAAAACAACCAATACACCAAAATCAACTGTTGTGTTGTTATGAGGAGTGGAGGGGGGTCAGGAGGCCAGGAAAATCTGCTGTACAGCAGAGAAACAGAAAAAAAACTAAAGGATTTAGCTGCAATTAAGCTGCTTTAATTCTTGTAATTAAAACATTACAGTGAGCTCACCACAGAAAGCCAAACCAAATCATGCAGCACTTTTCTCCACCTTGCTATGAATTTCTGTTGCCTTAGGTTTTGCTTACGGCTTCAGTGCCACTGTTAGATCTCCAGAGTGAGCTGATCCCCACCGCTGACCTCCACTTCAACAGCAGAGGAGTGACAGGCTCGACCTGTCGGCCCACAGGATCACAACATGGTTCACTGGGCCAATTCAAGGGGCAGGGAGCCATTCACTCATCCAGCTCAACGGCAGAAACCGCCAGAGAAAAGAGAGTATAAAAGGCTATAAAAATCCAACGTAAAAGAACAGGACTGCGGGGAAAATTGTCAAAGGGTAGAAGGAAGCCACTAAAAGAATGAACTGCAGGTCAAGAGAGCAAGTGAGGAAAAAAAGAGAGAAAAAAAGAGGGTAAGCGGAAGGAAATGTCAGAGCCGGAGAGAGGAGGAAAAATGGTAACAATGGCTAAAAATACCAGACAGAGGCATCACTGGGCAGGGAAGGGCAGAGCAGAATAGGACAAGGCACAGGGGCAAAACACTCCCTCAGAGATATGCAGGCTTTTAGCACTCTGTATGCTGTCTGGCTGAATCTAAAGATGGAGAAGGCGACCTTTTACTACCCAGGACCATACAAGGAGCATACATGTGAAGGATTAGCAGCTCCTGGAATACGTGCCTCACACCTTTTCCTACAGATATACTAAATGTGCAACCTAAAGTAGATCGGAGTCCTTTTCAAGGGCTCTTGATGAGAGGTAAGGGTGCCACTGGGGGAGTGTGGGGTCTATGTACACCCTGGCAGAATCACTACATGCTGCAGCTGTCAAAAACATGTGAAAAAAACAGTACTGTGGATTACTCTTGCTTGTGTTTGGGATCTTTTCTGTGTGTTAGCTTATCGCCTTCTGCAAAGAAGACAGAGGGCACAAAAGACAAAGAACTACGTAGCATTTGCATTGGCTGGCAGCCCATAATCCTTCTATCGTCACAGCCAAAGATGGACAAAAATAAATAAATAAAAGCATGTTTTGGGGGGCCTATCAGGAAGAGAAACAAATGAAATGTTACTGTCATCATTTAACAGACTGGCTAAAGAATATTTAGAGAGAAAGGAAGAAAGTGTGAGCAGCAAAAAGACCCCTGAATGTCACAGCGGGATCTTAGATATGATCAGGCAAGAGTGGAGAAACAGAAGAAGGGATGTAATAAGATGAAACTCGAATGTATCAATGATGTGGAGGCTCTTAACTTTAAAACTTTGTAGAACTGTCTACTGACCTACTTTTTCCTTTTATTTTTTTACAGAAAGGTTCAGAGAGGCAGGAAAGTAGGGAGAAAGCTGAGGGATGACTTGCAAAAAAATAAATAAAAATGCTTGGAGTTGAATTGATGCGAGGCCACCAGAATAATGACTAAGCCTGTGTTACATGTGACGTGGTGCTACGAAAGGGTTACTACAGCGGAGGTCCACTGGCACGTTAACCTACTTCCTTGTGCTGTTTTTATGTCATTTTTAAAAGCACTAATGCTGCAGAGTATTTGGTTTGCAAACTAATGAGATCAGCAAACACAGATCAGCTCTCATCTAAAAAACCTCCAACAGCTAGCATGCGTGGGCGGTTTCGGGTGTTCACGATCCACTGAAACACAATGGGGGGGGGGGACACACAGCTGGACTAATATCCCTCAATCCAAATGCATTAGTCCACACTAGCTTCCCCCCGCCAAAGCTCCAAACACACACAATAGGTTCTGCACCCCTTAGTCACTGGGGTTGAATACTGATAAGTTGATATGATTCACGGTGTGTTAGAGACCTCTCCATAAGCATGCGATGAGCGAGTAGACGGCAGGTATGATGTCATGCAGGCATCCACTCTCACAATTCAGTATTAGCAGAACAGACTGGTGAAATCAACACTTTCTAATTTCTCCTGAGTGGGAGTGTGTCTATCTCCAGCAATAACACTACTGGGCTTTCCACTGACCCTCACAGCAGCGTTCTTGTTGGTACTACAGTGAAAGGGCTTAATTTCATTACTGTGCAAAACTTCTTTAGCCACCACTAATTTCTTCATAGCAGCCAGACTTTCTTCTACTCATGTCATTTTTTTCAAAGTGGTCTTGATCAATAGTTCTTCATGTTTTTTGAAACCTTTCAAGGTTTTTCTTTGGATATTGGCCGATTTTTCATTCAGTCCAGTCCTTGTACCTGACCATTTTCTATAAGAAGGGAAACAGGGAAATAATGCTGAGGTATACCAAAACTTCCACGACCATCTGTAAAACACTGTCGTGGTTTGAGGTGCATTTTAGCTACTGGTGCTGGGAATCTTGTGAAAATTGATGGAATTATTAAGCAGTGTTGGATTATCTTGACAAAAAAACAGAGCAAAATGTCACTCAAGAATCTTGGAGAACTATTCCTGAAGACTACATAAAGAAATGACAAAAAGCCTGAGAGACTTCAGGCTGTGTTGAAGAACAAAGATGGTCATAACAAATGCATTTCACATTTTCCTAGCAAAATACGAAGAGAAGAAGGGTGTTGCATTGCCTTAAAATTGACTTTTACACATGAAATCTTGATTCTCCTTTGTGATAAGATGGTCGGGGTTTTTAATCAAGTAACAGCAGTGACAGGTTGTTAAGTGTTAGCCCTCTAATCCCAGAGCCATTAGCTGCTGCCTCTTGCAGAGTGAGTTCATTGCACTCATTGCTGAAGACAGCACTGGCAGAATATTAACAGGGTTTATGTGAGCACCGGTCACCAGAAAGCCATTAAATCCTGAATTAAATCAAATGTAAAGGCTGGTAACTACTGAAGCTGCCACACCGCAGCGTTGAACGTGGAGAATTTTAAGAGACCAAACTGCATTTTTGATCTGCACTGAACGGCAAGAGGGAAGTCAATTTCAAAATACGCAGCATACTTCTCATTTGTTGAGGTGTTACTGTTAGTTGCCCTCTTTTGTGTGTAAATTTTTGAGAAATGATCTGATCAAGATATACATTTAGCCTTAAATGCTGAGTAAAGAGTTACTGGCAGAAGTTAGGGTTAATCCTACCTATTAAAAAAAAAAAAAGGGGGGGGGGGACTTATAGGTAAGACGGGCTTAAGGTGCTAAAACGGTAGGTGAGCTCAGATGTCTTATTCAGGACTGGTATAACATAAACAAGCATTATTTTGAACCCTAAATCATGCAAAGCCATTCTATTAAAGTCAAAGAACAAAATAGGGAAATCAGCACAAGTTCCTTTTATTACCTCAAGCATGGTCTGCTTTCGAAGCTACATTAATAAAAGTGAACTCAGGTTTCCGTCATCAACATTTATTCGAGGAGAGTTTGATTTGCTTGTAAAATTGTTGCATATTTGTTCCAAAAACACCACAACTCGTTTAAAATGAGCGTACAAATGTGTAAATCTTGTTCCTGCTTGTGACTGGTGAAGTACATAATTCCCATCCGCATTGCAATGCATTCCTCCTCGTAAGCTCCTTTGGTCTTTTAAATACATTACTCTTTAATGACATCCACATCAGCCAATTAATATATTATACTTCAGTTGTTCCTCTCCCTGTAGTGTAAACAGCCTGTCGTGCATGTCTGGACTTCTTCCTACTCCCCCACCCGCTCTCCTAACAGGTACTTCCCGTGGTAGTGGTGGAATAATGAATAATGAATGGCAATAAGGAAGAGACGAGGGAAAGCCTCTGGGCTGTGTAGGTGAGCAACAGGTAAACATTACTGTACATCTCTGTGACCTTTTCTCTCTCTTTTGTAGAAGCCTAACTTCCAGGTTTAGTGACTACATCACTGGTGACATTTATATAAGTGTGTGTAAATGGGAGTGTGCCCTGAAGTATAAAATAACCAGTAGCTCATTAGTCCTTTGCCACTGGGGTAATGAGAATCATCTGTGGGCTAATGAGCAATAAGTGGGCAAGCATTGCGGATACAACTGGCTGCCAAAGCCGGGGGGGGGAGTGTCGAGAGAGAAAGGCGGAGATATCAGCAGAGTTAAAACAGAGACGAGAGGACAAAGGCAGGAAATCACAGAACAGAAAAGGAGATTGAAGCCAAAACGACAACACTTGAGGAAAGAACGCAAAAAAAAAAGAAAGAAAAAAGGGGGGGAAAGGGGAAAAAAGGGCAGTTCAGGGGCCAGACAGCACAAAGTGGCCAGGGGTCATGGGGACAACTGGCTTCTCCATGGCAACCACCCTCATTAGAGCCGACTTAACTACATCATACCTCAGTGGAAACCAAATCTAATCATGTGCCCAGAGAGTGAAAGGTCACAGACCACTGTGGACAGTCTGATTGCATTACAGATTGGCAGAGACTGTTGATGAGTGTCTGTCTGGGTTTAGTCTGATTGGTGGACACACATGACCGTCTAGCAGACTGCATTAATACACAAGGCACAGGCCTGTCTATTAAACCTCAACACACTTTATCTCAGACCAAAGCGTGTTTGCAGGCATTAAACATTTCCTTGCTGCGAGTCTTTGTGTCACCCCTCCCTCGCTTACTGCAGTCTCCAAACGTAGCACTAAAAACCTGCGAAAATACTGAGCTACGGTCTTTTATTCCCACCTTAATTTACCGCTTTTGTTTTGGTGGCATTTCACGGTTGTTTAGCTCTTCCCCCGATAAAGACGACATTGTTTTGACACCTCGTAAAATATCAATAAAGACTCCGTTTAAGGACTATTAAAATAGTTTCCAGGTTTTTCAGAGCATAGCTGCACAGGCAGAGACCACCCCAGCTAACTTCTGATGCACACACAGTTAATTTCCTCTATAAGAAGGCTTGAAATGTCACAGAAAGCACTAAGTTCAGAGAAGAGCTTCAGGGTTTGCTCCTAGTAGGCTTTCAAGAAGAAGAGTTTAAAAAAATATGACTTTACAGGAGAACATATTTATTATTCTATACCTGAAAGGACTGCAAAATTTAACAAACCGCCCATGATGGGCAGAAAACTGTTTTGCTTCTCCAAGCTAAACAAGAAACACAGTTATAGATTGAACCAGCCAAGCAAATGAATATTGTTTTAGATCTCACAACAGAAAAAGTGAGAGAA